TTTTTTTAATAAAAAACCTACGCATTTATTTTGGCTAAATCAAGCATATTGAAGAAGACTTGCAGACTATTTTTGAAATTTTTACACTATATTTCCTAGCCATTTAATCGCACAGTCGTATCTATACTGAACTTGGTATTATTATAAAATTCGTATTAGTATAAAATTTTATTGTTTCTAGTATATATATATATTTTTTTTTTACAAAAAGAATATTTTTTTCAGAGAAATGGCGTCCACGTTCTTATTAAAGACACTGCAATAATTTTGTCAGATTTTAAGTTCAGTTCCTAAAACTTGCCTCTGTGTACACAACTTTATCTTTCATAAACATTTCGTTTCGCATATCCTGTCGATCCTGATACTGTCCTAAAAATATTATGAGATGGTGCTCTTCCAGGTTTAAAATCTTTGCCAAACTATGCCAAACTATTTCATCAGCAGCAATTTCGATGGGCTGGTCCTTTTCTTCATTCTCGGAACTTAATATCTTATCCTCTTTTGCTTTCTACATATCTGTATTCAAAATATTCTATTCTTCAGTATCTGTGTTTGACGACTTAGACTCGTCATTAGTATTATACAGATCATAATCATTTTCCATTTTGTCATCCTCAATTTCAGAAAGTTCTTGTTCTTCGATTTCTAAACACTCTTCATCTACATTATTTATTTTTTCTAATAACATGATATTTCTTGTATGTTTCGACATTTTTGAGCTAAATATTAGGAACAAAATAATGTAGTCAAGATTAAATATAATTATTATTAGTTTTCATGTTTACTTTCTTCAAAAATGGAACTTGAGATTTTCAAAATAATGATAGATATTATTATTTCAAATGGTAAACTCTTTATAAGTTTTATACTTAGATCCTTTCTTTTAAAGTTACAAAGTTGTACTATTTCTTCTAATTTTGAGGTTTGCATAAGTACAAACGAAGATTTGACAATAAGCAAATTCTTGCCATGTATTCCTTATTCATCATCATCTTATCGCGGCTTCTTCATATTATCTATCAAAAGCTTTCAGTCGAAAGTTATGCTGTATTTAAAGATCGCTTAATATTTGTAACTATTGTGTATATTTAGATTAGGATCTTTCGAGAAAAGTTACAAAAGAACTTAAATCTTTCAATCAGTTAAATAAGGGAGCGGTAAATAAAATAAGCTACATGTCCTAGAACAGAAAAAATAAAAAAGAAATAAATATTGAAAAATTCATTATATGTATATTATAATAAAATCGTGAAATTAAATTACTATGTAACAACATTGTATGCATAAAATTTTGAACAAAAGTTTAAAAACAATCATTTGACCGGTCGTTTAATATTAATTCTTTTTCCTGTATGAATTTCTTTACTCCGTCTATCATGAAATCTTTGCTTATTTGTAATTATAATTATTATATTGTTTTTTCTTTTCTTTCTTATGTTTTTAATATCTTTACGTTAGAGTCCTTCTTTCATTCTTTCTTCTTTTTTTCCTGTTCTAATGTTTTCTATTTTCTCTTCCATTTCTTCCATATTTTCGTTCAGTTTTTTTTATTTCCTGCTGCAACATTTCTCTCTTTCTCCCTCCCTTCATCCCACTCATCTTTCCTCTTTTATTTCTCTCTTTTAATTTTATCTCTCACACTCTTCATGTCTCGTATGATTTTATTTTATAAGTATCTCTCTTATTGAGTCTTCTTTCTCTTTCTCTTTCTCCTCCCATATTTCTTTCTCTTTCATTTTCTTTTCGTCTCTCCTTTATAATTCTTCTAATCTTTTTTTTGTTTTTAACATATCTGTTTCTTCTATCGTGTTTACTCACTTTTTTACTGTCTGTTTTATATGTTTCGGTTCTTCTCTTCATTACTGAAGCTTATCACTTTTGCTTTGGGTGCCGGTCTAATCTCACTTTCGTTAAGTTTACTCTTTTGTCCTTTATCTTCTTTTTCATTTTCTCAACACTTCGTATTCTTTCTATTTCCAATAATCCATCTTGATTTACTTATATGTTGTAAACACACGCATATGCCGTAACTAAGCTTTCCACTTTGTTTTTTATATCGACTCAAATTGCTATTATTTTTTTAAAGCTTTATTGCTTTGTTACATTCGGCATTTCACAATATTAACAAACTGATGTCTTTGAATTCATTTTTATGTATTTTGTTTTGCTGCTGCCTTTATTATTTCTACACATAGTTTCCTCTATCATTTATATTTTTTTTTTTTTATCAGTATTTTGCCAGCATTTATCTTTTCTTTTGATTATTATTGTATTCGATTTTTTTAATATTCTTCATATGTTCTTCGATTTTTACATTAGTATCATTTCACTTTTATTTACATTTCGCATGCTTTTTCTTCCAATTTTTTGTATATCTTTCTTCTATTTTTCTTATCCTATTTTTTCGCTTTTTTTTATACTTTTCTTTCTTTGCCTTTCATTCCTCATTTATTTCCTTTCATTTATGGATTAACTTTTTCTGATTTAATAAACATGGAATAAAATAAAAAATTATTTTATTTTAAGAAATGAAAGTTTAATCTAATCATGAATATATTTTATTATAAAATATATAATATAAGTAAGGTGATATACGTGAGTAAGAAATGATACTACGTGAAAAAATGAGTCGAAAAGAAGGAATAAAACTTTCATTAGTCTTCATTAGTCTTAGATCACAAACCTCTGTTTATGCAAAGGAAACAAGTGCTTACTAGCATCCGAGGACATTGTTCCTTTTTAAATATGTATGAATATCCAAATAAACTCAACAAATATGAAATAAAAATAATAATGATGGTTGATGTTAAAGCCAAATATGTCTTAAAAATAGTGTCAAAAACACTATGTCGTATTTAAGTAAAGAAACTTATAATGGCGACAAATCTTTAAAAACAATATTTGTGTGATAGGAATTTAAGAAACCAATACATGGCTCAGGCATGATTGTAACAACATATATTAGTTCATTTCTGTTCTTCTAGCTACTGAATTAGCTAAACCATCTTTTAAACTTTTCTTTGTTGGTAGTAAGAACCGACAGATTTCATCGCAGCTAAAGTTTTTGAAAAATCGCAAGTTGAAATATCCATGTTTTCTTCGATGTTGACACTTTTGTATCTTATAGACTAATAACAAAATAGTGTTTTATCAACTTATAGAAGAAGAAGAAAATAATGATTTATCAACTCTCCATGATCAAGCGAATACCAGCGATTTTATTTATAAACCGAAAATAATACATTTCTATAATAACACCAAGTGTGCGGTCGATACAGTCTGTTGAATATAGTTTAATGATCTAAGATTAAAGATTTCGTTTTTGAGAAAAGCGAATTTGAAAATTTATTAAATGTACTTGAATTTGGCTAATTCCGACAAGCGTAAATAATCAAAACAAGGATATTCTGTGTCACAAAAATAAGTGAAAAGTCTAAAATAAATAAACCATTTAAGGTATCATTTTCAAGAAAATAGACTTTGAATATGTTTCGTTAAAAATTATCTCAATACACGTGTATCTGATAAATTTTCAAACTTGATTTTCTTAAAAAAGAAGATTTTAATATAAAAATTTTATTCTTTGCTTTTGGCTAATTTTTTTAGAAACACTTCCTACTCGTTTGTACCAGTTATAGGAGAACCTGTATAATTGAGGTTTATATTAATATCAATTATAATAATTGATTTTGAATTTAAAGTTACTGAAATTAGTATGTTATACTAGTATGTTATATGTATACATATGTTTACATACAATTGTATTTATGTTCAGAATTCAGATAGACGATTTTCTGGATGAATATAATTTAATTTCTGGATTTATTCCATTATCTAATTCGAATAAAATTGTGACAATATCAATAGTTTATAAAACGCCTCCAAAAATATTACAAATTAAAGCAAGAAGTTCTATGAAATTAAAATTCTTAACAAGTATACAGTATAGCGAACCTACATCGAAAGAAGAATACCATATTCAATATGAATTAACTAAAGAAAGAGCTATAGAGGTATGTATAAGTTATAAAACACTGAAAATTTATTATATTAATAAATTTAATTTTATATAATCTGTTACAGGCAATTAAAAAAGCAATTAGTATTCAGCACCAAAATTTGAAAGAAGATCATATTAATGTTTGGCAAAGTTATTGGTATACAGGTTTTAGAATAAGTGACTCTAAAGCTGATGGTGTAGTAAATGGCCATAAAATAAATTCTACTATATACTATGTATTATCTCAAATTTCAAAAGGTATTCCAGATATAGAAAAAAATATAGCAATGAATGAAGGTTGTTATCGTGGGCATCATACTTTGTGAGTATTACAATAGTCTTTTGATGTATGTAAATATTTTTGGGCGGAACTTTTATTTTATTATTTTGTTTCAGGGATGCTCCACGATTATGGAAAGATACATCCTCCATTGATGCTGTGAATAATGTTGTTGAAGCATGGTTAATAACATTAGAAAAACAAGGATGTCATCATTTAATGATTGGTGATCCTGCAGCAGTACAACAAGCTATTGTCCTAAGTCTTGGTAGTTTACGCTTCAGTAATCAACATCTTGAATTTAATATTGATCCACAATATCTTAATCGAGATTATTTATTTAGGTATGGTACTAAAGTTTTATAAAGGATATTACTAATATAATTGTTATGTATCATATATTTATAAATCATTGTAATAAATAAGTTCCTTTAATCTTTATGGAGCAGAAATTTTGTTTGAGAAAATCATGCAAATTTATTAACATATCACTGAAATTAATTTTTTGCATGAATTATCTTTTTTCACAGTTACAGTTACTTTAATTTATATTTTTAAATTGTAAATAATTTTTCAAAGTAATTTAAGTAATTTATACTTTAGGCATATTTTTTATATTTTAAAATATTCATGCAATATTTATGACTAATGTTATTAATTACTACTAAAATTTTAATATAATTTTAATATGAAAAAGCAATATCTTGATCGAGTATAATTTTTTGTTAAAAATTTTATAAAAATTTTATAAATATTTATAAATATAATAAATATATTTATAAATATTATATTTTATAAATATATATTTTATAAATATTATATAAGCGACCCTTGTTTGTTTATTATTTACACATATATGTTGAAAATTCGAATTTTTATTTCAAGATTTATCATCCAACTTATATCACATATAAATAACTTTCAAAAGAATCAACGACATTATATTTGTAAAATCATTTATAATATAAATATAAAAATTAAATATCATTCTTAGAAACTATATTTCTAAACAGAAATGTTCACAAATACAAAATCTTGTGTAAAAATATGTACACATAGAAGCGTTTTTTGAAATTTATAGGTTGATTAAATAAAGAATTGAGGTAATTCTTTCACACATTGTTGAAAAAAGTATTATAATAATTGTTTACTATAAACAATTTTCTATATAAAAAATGTGACAATTAATAATGTTTTTTTTTTAGCAGAGTTTAAAATTGACTTGATTTTTTTCAATGGAATAATATAATTATGATTTTAAAATAATGAAGAAAAAGTTAAAGGTCATTATTTTGAACAATTTTTTCTTATTATATATAATCGGAGCTTCGTTTCAACAGGCTTCGACCAATATAGCCACAAAAGCGGATATGACTTTATAACCCCTAAAAAAAAATTTTTTTTTAATATGAGGCTTTGTTTTTGAGAAAATTGGCTTTAAAAATTTATCAAGTATATTTAAATTGGTTATCCAGGATTTGAATTCAGAATAAAATAATATTAAGCCATACTAGCTACAAATAAGTGCTATTTGATGAATACTAGTCATTGGGGACTAGTCATACGGGCTATATAAGTCATGTGAAATTTTGCCTTGCAGAATATAAAAAATGGGATTAGTCATATAGATTATCCTAGTTTAATAACAATGCATTATTGTCATTGTTATTACACGCTGTCATCATTACTAGAATCTTCTACATATTACGCTTTTACATATTATTCGATCGGATCTTGTCTACATATCAAAACATATTTCATACCTTTTAGATTTCAATGATTTTTTAAATTTATATATTAACATTATATATGAAAATGTATACTTCAATCTAGTGACATTTCGATCCTTCCTACAATTTTCTTCATTAAGAATTACTTGCTTTGTGAATTATCTTCATATGCTGTTCGTGTTGCCAGTATTCTCCGATCGAAGACACACTCAGCCTAATTTAATATCGATATTCTTTTAAAAAATGACCGACTGTCGGAATATTGATGTTAGTTTGGAGTAGATAAATCAGTAGTTGACGGAAGTCACCATATTGAAATAATTTACAACAACAAATTTTTAATAAATAAGTTGTTTACACTGAGTATCGAATAACTACTTGTTTCTATATCATGGCAGAAATATTTCCAATTATATAGTATTACAAAATACATTAAACACACATAACTTAAATTAATCTAAATTTAATTTAAATCTAACCCATACTCCATAAAAGTTACATACCATTATAAAAATATATAGTATTAAAAATAGTTTTGCTCATATCTCGAAAACTAAAGTCGAATGGTGCTAACATGTATGTAAGATGGAATTTTTGAAGAGAGATCGGAAATTACTTTTATGTGTAATAAGTAGTAGACTTTATTAACAGAATGCAAAAGAAAACGAAAAAAAGAAAGAAAATATTTCTGACTCTTATTGAGATTTATAATCGATTCATTGCCCATCATCGCTTCATATAGGCTTAGTTTCTAGTCATTTCTTTTTTTCACATTCATCTTCAAATGTTTTTGCATATACACATCATCCTTTTCTATTTTTTCATCTCTTTATATATGGGAAAAAGTTGTTCAGAATGATAACATATTTTAAGATGAACTGAAATCTCCGTTTCGAATAACTATCTTATTATAATTATTATAACTATATTACAATATTTATATTATAAATATTAATAATAATTACTTTATTATATAACATAATATATTATATATCAATAATTTACAATATATATTATACACTATTCTACAAAATTAAAGAATCACTAGATTGTAATTGAAAAATTGTTTTTTAATCTTTGTACTCCTGTAACTTTGTAATCAAAAGTTGTATAACATTTTGCCTGGGCTTATTTTAAAATCTGAAACCTCTACTTTCAGAACTGATCGTAAGTTTTTTTGTTCGGAAAAATGAATATGCCTTTTCTTTTCGAAGTGTTCACAAATTTAAATGTCTCTACAGACACTAAAAAATTCTTTTTAGGACTAAATCCACAGTGGTTATTAAGATTGCAATTTCCTCTTTACAATGAGCTTCTAAAATTTGAGGTATAATTTTTTTTCACTGATTCATTCAACTTTGAATGAAAAGTGTGCTAAAGTGTGCACTTTTTTATAAACATTTTTGTAAATACTTTAAAGATAAAGTATGTTCATTTTTACATCTTACATGACACGAATCTAAGAAATGTTGAAATTTGCGATAGATTCTGAAAGTAGAGGTTTCAATTCTTAAAATAATCTGTCGAAGTTGTACGACTTTTGATTGTAATACACAGTGTTGAGACTTTGGAGTACAAAGATCAACAATTTTTCGATTACAATTTAGTGATCCTCTAATTTTGTGATACTGTGTATAATATATTTCTCTACTACATACTATTATTATTAGTATTGTTGTTATTATTAATATTATTATGTAACACAAACGATTTAATATTGCATATTCTAACTTTAAATAAAATATATTTTTCCTTTTTTTAACATTATCCCTTGTAGTTACCTTATTTTATGTTTTTTCTAGGAGAATAAATTATGGTAATGTAACGCATTTAAATATATCAGCAACAGTCGGAGAAGATAATCGCGCTGTTTTAAAAGTGGCTTTAGATAAGAGTGATAGTGTCTATTTTGGATGTGATGCTGGATGTTTAAATCCACCTGTTTCCTTGAGTCAATCATATGTAAGCATTCCAGTAAAATTAACAAAACCATTAACGGCTATATTATACATAACATCTGATTATCAACATATGCAAGATTTACGAAATGCTTTACATGTACATGCCATAGATGATGGTTGGTAATATGTAATTTATCACAAAATTTAAAAATGGATTTTGGTTGGTTAAAGCTATTTTAGAGAAACTTATATATTATTCATAAAATTGGAAGCTATTTTAGAGAAACTTGTATATTATTTATAAAATTGGAAGAACTTATATGAAATATAACACATACAAAAAGTATTATTAATTATATTACATTATATTGAGTGTTATTATTAATTATAAACTATATAATTTTATATAGTAAATGCTGACAATTGTAAGATATAGATGCTATATTGATCAACCAATATTCATAAATTCTATGACAATTATGTTAATAGAAATAATACGTGACTTCTTTGTAGCTCCAGCACATGATCATCTTGTAATGGCTTTACATAAACATGGACATCAATTAGGAGGTTTACCAACATTTTTTTGGATTAGTATATGCTTTCTTATAATTGTGTTTCATTTGTTTCTTTGTAAACTTATTATCAATGAATATCATGGCCACCAAGATAAACAAAAAGTGAGGTATAGTAAGCTATGATGTATGTATATCATAGCTATGATATACATATATATCGTACATGTATATATGTATATTGTTCATATGAATACGTACATAATACATATGTGTATACATACATGTGTATATACATATATATGCTTGTGCTTTGTATGTAAAATTAATGTTAATAATATACAATTAAACTACCTTCATATATTATAACATATATTTCAGTGTAATGTCAAACTTTATAAAAAAATCTTATTTACTTTCAATATTACATAGTTTTATTTTATTCAAAAAATACTAACTTCACCATAAGTATTATGCAATTTTATTTATTAACAATACATGTGTAGAATTGTATGCAATTTATAAAACATCCAAAGGGGGACTAATTTTTACGAGAATATAATAATTTGTTATAAAGAATTATTATTTATGGATTCTTTTTTCATATATATATAGGATATACTAATAAAAAAAATTGTCGATAATTTAAGCTGTTATAACAAAAAACAATTCATTTGGTCTCGATTTAAGCCATTATTTTAACAATTTTGTATTTATTGTTTTCAAAGATAATTTCCCATCATGTATGTAAACAAATGAGAAATGATACTTTCTTGTTTAAATTTAAACGTCATGAAAACATAAAATTTTCATAATTAGATTCATCATAGGTTGAAGATTGAAATCTCCCCTTTACAATAATCTCTATATATTATATTATCTCTTCCTCTTTAAATAACCCCTTAACTTAATGTATGATTTTGTTTCACTACTTTAATAAAATTATTTCATCATTTTAATGGTATTCATTCACTATTTTAATGAACTTTGAATATTAGAGATTTCTAGAACTTTTGTTATATATATAAATTTATATATAAACATATGCTGTTTATTTACATATTTACATATATTGTTTACGACCATTCGACTATTCGATAAGCATTCGAAATAAAATTATAATTTCATATTTACATAAAGCTTTTGTTCTTTTTATTTCAATTAATTACTTACATACTAAGTAGTTTTATTTCAATTAATTACTTACATACTAAGTATAAAATTATATATATTTGTTAAATTAAATTAGAATCGAAAACTCAGGATAGGTATCCACATTTGTATCTGATGATTCTGGATAATTTTAGCTCTCTGGCCTATGACGATTTTAACGCGAGTATAATGAAGAATGATTCGACAGACAATAGGAATAAATGCCTGTCATGCAAGTGGATTTGTGCAGCCGAACATCTGCGATTGCGGCGCAACATAAATGAAGAAGTAACGCCCTCCAGTACAGGCTGATGGATACGTATACGATGTTTGCAATCAAGTATAGAAAAATATAACGATGCTGACTTAAACTTACGAAATAAAAGGCTGGCCACAACGCGAATACAATATACTGACGGCGAGATCAGAATGATGCGTATGATGAGGCCAAGATCTCTAACAGAATCACCATGTTAGTGAGGATACTATTTGAACAGTCTGACCGTCTCACTGAAGGTAACTACGGTCCAGGGATAAGTAGAAAAAGCACTTATCTGAAGCCATCGAGGAATTGGCCAAAAATCGTGTCCAAAGCCTTTCCCGCTTACACCTAGGGTGCAACTGACAAGACTGGAGGACGTTCCTAAAGGTATGCAGCAGCGACAAGATGAGGAAGATGCTATTGACAACGTAGGGTGCTCAACTATATCATCTGATAAAATCTGTCGTTGTTTGCGCGACAATCAAAGAGAAACAACCGCTGAAATGTCTCGCAAAGTTGATGCAGTGCTGAATAATGATTCAAACACGAACATCATGTCTCTTTTAGATGAATATATTGGTAGTATTCCGAAATATACTAATACAAACGAGTAACAATAATAATAGCAATAACAATAATAATAATAGTAAAAACAATGATAGTAGTAGTAACAAAAGTAATAACAACAACGCAAACAATAAAAAAGAAAGCACCAATAAATGTAATAAAAATAGCAGATATAATGCCAACAAAATCAATAGAAAAGAAAATTCACTAATGACCGTCTATGTATTAGGCGTAGGTAAGAAGTCCAGTGAGTTTGCGCGAATCCAGAAATTATGCAATAAGAACCCATGCCAAGTGGCAACCTAGCATGGATAAATTTGTTGAGTTCTATAGTAAATTCTTCGCAGCTAGCCACTTGAAATGGAAACTAAGCTTACGATTATAGTGGAGCGGCGAGGAACGAGGATAGCGACGAGGTGAGCGTCGCGACAAATAAACCAATGTAATGTAATAGAAGTGTTTATAGCGGAGTGCCAAGGAGAGCTGCAAAGAAAGCGGCGTATAGTAGCGGTGCAGCTAGAATCAAAAAAGTTTATTTTTACTAGCGGAGACCAACGCGTTTGGTAACATGCACATTCTATTGCATTCTATCGCATTTAATAGTATCCAATTGAAGATCGAAGTATTATAGATATTTATATATCTATTATTTCTGTTTTTTTAATTATTTATTATATTTTTATTATTTCTATTATTTATTTTTTTATTTTCTGATCTTGTTTTTTGCAAAATATGACATTAATATGTGATATTTAATTGCAATATTTTTTACAAGCACGAGTTTTTGCTGCTTTCTTGAAGACATCTTGAAACATAGTACCGGACAAATGTATTCGGACAAAAATGTTTTTGTTTCCCTGTTTTGTGATACTGTTGGTGGAGAGTGCCACTCTGTGATTTGTTTACTTTTAGTCTAACGCTAACTCGCGTGGAAGTTACAGTTAGGTATTTGCTCTCTACTACATATAAAGTAAGTTTTATTCAAATTAGTTTGGACAAAAGTATTCGGACAATTAATTTACAAGCGTAAATTACAATCTGAAGCATGATATTCGTCGAAATCTTATATTATATTTTTTTTTAAATCTATTTTAGCATGGTACGAGGTAAAAGTTTACCAAAAGTTTTGAAAGAAAAAATCATTAATGATTTAACAAGTGGGGAATCAATATCCAAAGTTTCTCGGCAGTTTAGACATCCCGAAGCGGACTATTTATTCAATAAAAAAACAATTTCTTCAACAAGGACATTTAGAAAATGTATCAAAAAGTGGTCGACCTAAGAAAACTACAATCAGAAAAGACAGGAAGATTCGTCGGTTGCAGATCTAAGAGAAATTGCTGTTGATATTCATGTGGAAATTGTACAAGATAGTGAGCTGAATGTATGTGTATAAACCATTCGCCGTTGTTTAGAGTCATTTAACCTTCATGGACGACATGGCGTTAAGAAACCATGGTATCTAAAAAAAAAAAAAAAATAGGATAGCCCGACTACAATTTGCCCGAGATTATTTACACTGGACCGCATCTGATTGGGCAAAAGTAGTTTTGAGCGATGAAAGTAGCTTTCAGTTGTTTAACTCAAGTGGGATTCGATGGATTCGTCGTGAAAAAGGACAAAGATTTAATTAAAAGGACAAAGATTTCTCACTGTAAAATATGGCGGAGATAGTGTAATGGGGTTGTTTCTCCGCATTGGCCCCTTGTATCAGATATACGGTATTATGAACAGGTATGATTATGTACACATCCTACGCAAATGTTACCATGCATCAGAAAGAATGCTAAATAATTGGATGTTTTGACAAGATAACGATCCAAACCACACTTCGTGTTTTGTAAAAAATTGGTTCACACAAAAAGAAATTTCTATAATGGTGTGGCCATTTCAAAGTGCGGACCTTAATCCAATTGAACACCTCTGAAATCATCTAAAACAAAACTTGAGAGCCAAGAAATTGAAAAATAAAGACGAATTATTTGAAATCTTACAAAAGAAGTGGGAGAGTATTAATCCTGCAACAATTCAAGAACTTTTGGAGTCTATGCCAAGAAGGATGCAAGCAGTCATCAAATGGATATGATACAAAATATTAATTATGTTTACCCTGTAAAAATTTTAAGTAACTTGTTTTTTTTTAAAGATATAATGATGTATTAATATTGTCGAATACTTTTGTTATATTTAATTTTGTTTAATATTAAAAATATATGTTTGATACAATAATTTATTAAATTTTATTACAATGATATATTTAACATCCTTTCTTCTATACATTAATTATTTAGTAGAATATCTGCTGTACCGCATAACAAAAGTAATTGTCCGAATACATTTGTCCGGTACTGAGAAGAATGGCTCGCTGTAGCATTTCACTCCTCGCTTTCCTCCGCGTCACGCATCGCACCGCTCTGCTAGTCTCACAGCTCTCTTCTCTACTCACCGCTCTCCTCGCCGCTCCACTATAATCTCCAGTTAACACAAAACAGACCTCGGGATAACAGTGTTGAAGTACACGAACAACTAGCCAAATTAAGAGAATCTGATAGAGAATATTGATGAGATTAACTGCGAAGACCTTCGGAGAATGCTACGGCACGGCCCTACTTAATATCATGTGGGACATAAAAGTGTTATTTCTGATACTAAGAAAGAACAGGACTTTGCTACTGTCAAAGACTGAAGATCTGTCGGATCCCAAGCAGTGGAGACCAATTACCATCTCAAGCAGAATATTGCGTCTACTGAATAAGATATTCGTTGTAACGTTGGAGAACACAATTCCCCTTAACCATATGTAGGGAGGGGAACGAAAACTGATAGCATAATGGTAAATACGACCATATTGCAGATGCTCATTAAAACATATAAAGCTAAGTCCAAACCATTTACTATACTATCAATAGATCTTGCAGAACTCCATAAACATTACATCCATAGTTCACGTTCTTAACAAAAGAGCGGTTGATAAAAACACAATAGCATATATTCAAAACATATACAGTGATGTAACTACCATCTTAGAATGCCACAGTGAACGCTCTGAATCAATATCCATTAAGACAGGGGTCAAACAGATTCTTGTTCAACTTAGTGATAGATGAGCTATTAATGCAGCTTGGATGACGCGAAGGCATCTATATTAACGGTTGGACGGCATGAGTGTGAAGACGTGCGTGAGAAAGATACAGAATGAGTGAGATTGCGGTAATTGAGGAGAAAAGAGAAAGAAGAGAGGCAGGGAGAAGAAGAATAATAAGAGCAGAAAGCGTGAAGA